ATATGAACAAAGGCTCAAAACACAACAGTGAACCCACCATTCAGTCCTGATTCATTTCAAAACTAAATAATCTTGAAATTAAATAAATAAATAAAACGTTGCTGTAGCAGAATGACATTTTTACTAAAGATATTCTAAAGAAATAATCTTGCTGGAATAGATTATTTTAAAAATAATTAGATTGGCTGCAATGGTTTCTGCTTTAAAAGCTTTAAAACGAGGTAAAAAATAGAAATACCATAAACAATAACAAAAGTAATGCTTTCTGACCTTCATGTTGACATATTATCAACATTACAGTTTTTCAGGGGTGGGGTGGGGGAGTTTGTTGTTTTTGTTTTGTTTTGCTTTAATGAAAGGACTACAAGTACTTCCAGTTAATTGTTTCAGTGTTCCTGGGTTTGTGACATATTGGCCTTTCACAGCACAACACATTAAAATAAGCCATCAAGGGTGAAAACTCCGGTCAATGCAAGATTTACAGAATAATTATGAATGTCAACCCATGGATCACCCATGTTTTCCTCTTCATGGGTGATCCAATCAAACTTAAGAGTGCAAAAGGTTTAACATGGCAGATTTCAATTGTACTTTAAGCACTCTTTGGATAACTCTGCAATTTAAGCTAAATATTAATATTTAATATTAAATCATCTCAAAATGCAATTGCATATAATGCTGTAAAAAAAAAAAAGAAGAAGAAAAAGAATAAATGAATATTCCACTACAGCAGATTCCTTTGAAAAACTGCTATCTGTTGGTGCATCCTCCAGTGAGTCACCCCTCTTTTACCCATACCTGCAAATCTCTGCACAGAGCTCACAGCAATCATGTTCATTTACTTTATTTACTGATATCTGCAGTAAAAGTTCAGAGTTTAAGAGTCAAGAAACGTGCCTGTAAGACCAAGTGTGGCTTCTCTGCCAGCAGCGACACCATTAGCTGCAAAGCCAACAAACCTAAGTGCACATAATAATTTCTTGATACTAAGAGTTTGCAACTGCAGGATGTCACAGACGGCAGCTGCAAAGCTGAACCACAGTTCAAGGATTTTAAACAACAAGTTGCAGATCCCACCTTTGTGGGGAATTCTCATGGAGACGATGCATAAGTGCTCCATATGACTGTTTCTATCATTTCTTTCTCCTGTAAAACTCCCCTTTTCATTGTCTCTGTTTTTTACACCGAAACAGGTGCCTGGTGACGCAATGAAATGTGGGAATGGATCAGATCCTGATCATCCCCTTCGCAGTGTTATCTCTACAGTCACAGAAGCACAAGTACTGAAAGTGAAAGTCGATTTGCTCCTGGCAGATTGCACCGTGTTCCACACCATCCATAAACGGACTCCCTACGTCCAGAAGATTACATTTCCCTGAGAACATTAAGACAGTGTCTGCTGATTTGTTCTTACTTCAGCATGGTGTTTACAGTGCTTACATTTATTAGAGCACCACACAATGTAAGGTTCATGTCACAGCTGCCATAAATTAAAAGCACTGGTAATTACCAAAATATTTTTTATGTTTCTGTAATGGTTAATCCACCAGCATGCACAAGCTCTTTAATCCAAATGACAGTTTTAATGCTAAAATATAGTTATTGTTGTTATCCATGAATTTTCTAATTTACTGTTTGACAAAAACAAAAGCATAAAAAAAAGGCATGCACAGCATTCTTTTTTGGATTAGACACTAAATTAAAGTTATTTACTTCCATTCATGAGCAGAAAAATTTGTCTTACTAGTTGAATGTTGCACTTGATTAATTTCTGGATTCTCAGTGACAACTTTCGTCTTTTATTAAGAGAGTTCACTAAAATTCCTAAATCCACATCCAGAACTCTAAAACTTTATTACTTCTAGCCCCAGCTCTGGAAACACATTCTTAATTTAAAGTTATCCTACAAGCAAACAGAGGATCAAACAGTCCTTCTTGGTAGTGATAATAAGATGACTCCAGGAATCACCTTAATTCACTTATATAGCTTTAACTGAATTTCAGGTAGAGATAATCATCACTGCTTTGATTAGTCACATCGTGGCAGTGTTCTGTACGTGAAAAAAACAAAAACAGAGCAAAGCAAAGTCTGATTGCTAAACTCTTTTCCTCCTTCAAGAGCCAAAAAATACAATTTAAAAATTATGAATTTGAATTCAAATGAAACTACTTTGTACATTTTGTCATCATTACTAATGTTAGGGCTATGAGCAGTAGCAATAAGCCTACTGACCCATGTTAGTATAGTTTCAAAGACAATCTAAATGGAAACTAAAAGCCATCTCAGCTCCAGGCTACGCTTTCAAGATGTTTTAGTCGCTGCTCCCAGTCTGTGCTGAAACACTCTTTCAGCTTGAGGTCTTGGCGCTTGCTCAAGTCAATGAAGTTAAAGGATTCTCTCCTGCGAAGCTACACCTTTACCCTATAGGCACTTTGAAATTGACACTGGACAGGCAGCATCACCCACAAAGGCCAAACCAATTTGGTAATGCCCTTTCGTCTGTACAAAGATCAGAAATCAGCACACCCGTGCACATGGCAGACCGTACTATTTGATTAAAACGCGCTTCACAGGCTACATGTGACAAATCCCACGAGAACATCACGCACATTTAAGGCTTCCTTTAATCAGTGCCACCTCGCTTTGATCGCTCTGAAATGAACGTTTGTCTCGCTGTCCCACAAGTGTTCCTGCAGGTACGTATCAAGATGCAGTTCGTTGCATCGTCTGTCAGTTTGATGGGAGAGCAGGGACGAGTCAGTCTTTCCTCCGCCTTCCTACACCGCCCCTCAACACAAACAAACCCCACACAACGTGAGCTTCCCTCTCCTCTGCAGCAGTGCCACTGTACACAATGGGATGCTCCAAGTCGCTTAGTTCTTCTTTACCCACACACAAAACTAATTGCACTGCCAAACGCAGAGATCCTGCATAATTCATGTTAGCTGTTCGGACCGCGGGGGGAAGAAAAACAAGAATGAAAAGAAAGTCCAACCCAGGGGAAGATGTTTCACATGTGACTCACATTGACTTAAAATTAAAAACACAGCTTCTCATAAAAACCTCTCTCTGTATTTGTCTGTGTCTGAGATGAGGAAATCGGACAGGGCGGCGTGATGGCATATAAATTCTGGATGAGGTACAGGCACTTTTTGAGAATTGCACTGCTGTGAAGATGTTATATACTTCATTACAAGAGTGCCTGCACTGATTCAGGAGCAGCGGAATTACAGATTGTCACAGTATATGGGAATAATATCAGTACAGATCAGCAACTGCAAAAACCTGTACAGACGGGCAGGCGTAAGTGTTTCAGGAAACACAAACACTTTGTGGCAGCAGGGTCTCATTCTTGCGCGTTAGCCACTTTTCATTGTCCTTTCTAATCTTTTTTAATGTCAGCAAGACTTCATTTTGTCCACCTTGACCTTTGTGTTATCCACATTTTATTAGCCAAACACCAGTTGGTTAAAACAAAGTAACAATGATTGTTAGTTAGTCGTTTGGCACTTTCCCGTTAATCAAATTGCATGATATCTGATTGGCTTCAGTTTCAGTCCTATTCAGTTGTAGTGAAGGCCACAGAGCTGCTAAAGGTGGAGACCTGCACAAGCTGGAGGAAAATACTAGAAACTATGGCTGAATTAATTCGATTTTTCTGGGGAAAATAAATAAGAGTGTGCTGATGGCGTTGTGCTACCTGGTATAGCGTGTCGTCTATTAATGTGAAGGTCGGTTGTTTGACCCCTGGCACCAACCTGCATGTCAAAGTATTGTTGGGTAAGATACCGAAGCCCAGTTTTCCCCTGACCCAATGTTAGGTTAAAGTGCTTAGTCATAGAAAAGCACTTGTATAAATGATTTAATAGGTGAATGACACTTTCAGTTGTCAAATTGAGAAGAAAAACACCATCTAAGCACCTTTTATTAGTTAGTTTAGTAGCCGTTTCTCTTATAACTGGATGTGTAGTGGCAAAAGTTTAAGAACCACTGCTGTAATCAGTCGTGTTGTTTGAAGCGCACTTATAACATGTAATAAAAATGAAGGCTAATGTTTACCGCCAACTTAACCATTCAGTACTCTGCCACAACATAAGGATGGCTCCCTATGTTATGTCATGCTGAGAAGAGGCCCTGATACAAACTCATGAAACACTGAAGACACTTCATCTCTCAGCTGGCTTGGGAATGCCTTGGGTTCCCCTCCAGAAGAGATGGAAGAGTATCTCTGCTCAGATTGCTGCCCCCACAACCCAGACCCACATAAGTAGCAGAAAACAGATGGATGGCTAACTTTTTTTTTTTTAATAAACCAATATCTTTAATGAGATCGATAGTTAAGAATTTAAGAGGGCTATTTTAAAGGGGGAACAATTAATCCGGTAGCTCTAAAATGTATTGACAGATGATGAATCAGCACCAACTTTGACAAATGATTAATTACTTTGGCATTTTCCAATTCCATCATTGCTTTCAGTTGAGTAATCTCTAATCCTAATTTAATTTATACATTTTTTAAATTATTGCTCAAGTGTTCCAAAATAGTTTAAAACTTTTACTCTGAGTTCTGAGAATGCAAGTTAGGAAACCAGGCTTTCAAAACCCCCAAAGATATTAACTTTATTATAAGAACAGACCAAGAAAAGCAGCAAATCTGATGTTTCTGAAAATACTTTAGCAATTAATATAATAACATAATATACTGGAAATTACAAGAATTTTAGAGGATTATTATTATAAGTATTATTTAATGACAGTTTTTGTTTTCTAACATCTCTTTTGCCCATTATGTAAGTCAGCCCATGAAGACAGCGATCAAACAAACTAATTCATCAGCAGGCGTCCAGACTTGTGTGATTTTGAACCCCCTCCCCCTCGCAGTGACGTGGTGGTAAAAGTGCAACGTGGACGGGGCAAATAACAACACGAAGCCTCACCTGGGGCATGAACCGAAACTAAATCATGTGTCAAACGTCCCCGACCCCATCCACGTGCTTACCTGTTCTGCCAGCCTTGGATCAGGTTGGTGTATTTGCTCAGGACTCCTTCCAGCTGCCTCTTGCGCGCCTGCTGCTGTTGCTGCAAATTCATGCTGTTCCCCAGCACAGTTGCCCGACTGCCTCCCGCTACAGCCGAGCCTCCCAGGGAGCCGGAGCCGGGGCTGTGCGACCCGGGCCGCCCACCGGGCTTCCTCGATGATGAGCTCCCGCGGAGGTCCGCGGAGGAAGAGTTTGCTTTGTTGGTCCCGGGATGCGGACTGCAGAGCGTCTTGTCCATCCTGGCGACGGGACGGCACACAGCAGGAGGAGGAGCAGGAAGAGAGGGGAGGAGGGAAAGGAATGGACCAGAAGCAGCAGCAGAAAAGATTTTTAGCAAAGCATAAGTGCTAAACGGGGTTGTGTTTGTCTGCTAAACTAAAGCAGAGGCAGTGGATGTGCAGAAACTGCGCTGCGCGGCGGCTTTATGCGTCCCTCGGTGCGTGACACAGCTGACATATTCCTCGATGGTGTTTGAGTCCCGCTCTGTCCTCTGCAGTGCGCGGCTGTGTGGCAATGTGGGTCTCATCCACCGTTTTTCTGGTAGGAAGGACAGCAGAGCGCAGACACGCCCACTCTACTCTAGACCTGCCCCCGGATATTACCTACTATGCACTCTCCTATGAAACGTATCGTCAGACACCCCCCCCTCTCCGTCCAAAAAAAAAAAATTGGAAAGGGCAGGAAAAGCCTCACATGACACATATTTAAGCTGATACGCATGACTTTTTTTGTGAACAGTGACAGCTCACTATGTGCATGTATGCATGCCTAAACTACAATAATTGTGGATGAATAAAAACACAACTATACTGACGGAATGTTATAGGAAAGAAAATCCCCCTAAAGTCCCTAAAGCTTCACTATAGGCGCACTTTAGGGGGACTTCTGTGGAGATAGTCTGTCTAAATATAAAACAATGTGTGTTGGCTTTGACAAATAAATGCCGATAAACTAAAAAGTCTGGATTTGACCAAGAGAGTGTAGAGTTTAGAGGTGCAGCTTGTTTGTGAGTCTGTCTGCCTTCAGTTTTGTATTTAATAGCTGAAAAGCATGCTTTATTGTGTTGGGATCAGGTGACTGACTTGATCATTGAAGAATATTCCTGTCAAAGTTCACCAGAAGGCCACAAACACAGGACAAGCTCAAAACGTTTTGCAGTTTTAATGGGCAGATGAACAACAGCTAGGAATCCCTACAGCAGGGGTTAGTGTGAGGTAAGATGTTCAGGTAAGTTTAATACAGTTCAACTCAATTTAGTTTTATTTCTATAGCACCAAATCACAGTAGCAGTTACCTCACAACGCTTTGTTAATGTAAAGTAAAATCCTGCAATAACAGATAGAAAACCCCAGCAATCAGTTTTAAAGATTTTTATTGGCAGTTCACTACATGTACAGGACCTACAGGATATACTATAAGCAAGTACTTGGTAATAGTGGCAAGGGAAAAAACTCCCTTTAAAACCAGCAGAACCAGGCTCAGGAAGGGGCAGCCAAGTCCACCACTAGTTGTGGCTGAGGATAGGGAGACAGAACCGACAACAAGCTGTAGAGCTCAGTAATAAGGGGACTAGTTCAGGTCTTGGATATCCAATACTAAAGTCTTTGAAATGAGCAAGGGGAGAGTGGATCAGACAGATCTGCACATATCCAGTTGAGAATGAGACAGACTTTCCAACATATTCCCACATTAGTAGGCTAACAATTTGGTGACAGGTTGTGGTTTTGGGAGTATAAATACTGCATTGAATGAAGATAAGAGACAGGTGTGCCCATTCAGGGTTTCCTGTGACCACACCTGCCACTGAAGGACACTGGTTCGTTTAGATCCATCTCCATATTCAAACGGACAGGGGAGAGAGAGAGAAGACAGGACCATATCAAAGCAATATCATTGCCTCAATCATGGCTGACATGTTGTTTGCTTCGGATTATCAGCTGATTTTCTCCTTCACCATCATTTATATTTCCCACCAAGGTACAAATTAATCTTGGTTTTATCTTTACAACTGTTTTTTTCCCCATAACTGTGCAGGCTTCTTTAGATGTTTTCTTCAAAAAAAAATAATCTTGGCTTCCTGTTCCTGAGTGTTAAAGTAGTTTGTACCCTGCTGATTTTTCCATCTCTAAAGTGCTCTCTGTGATAGGTTTATTCTAGTTTTTCAACCTAATGGTGGCCTCCCTCACTTGCACTGAAATCTCTTTGGCACTCATGTTTACAGATAAAATAAAAAGTAAAGGAAACATTTCCTCACCTGACCACGAATCTGCTCAATCAGTCAAGTGTTAATTTAATTTTGAGCTTCTGAAAATGGGTGATTCTGTATTTTAAAAAAAAAAAAAAGTCTCCATAATTTTTTTGTTATTAAGCCCATCGAATTTAAGCTGAAGGTCTGCACTTCAATTACATTTTGGCTTATTTGATTTAAGATTCACTGTGGTGGTAGTGTAAAAACGAAGAACTAAAAAAATGTGTCTTTGCCTAACAAATTATGGACCTAAGTGTACAGCAATTATTCAATCTATAGTCTATATTAATACCACAAATGTCATGGGATGAGAGGCAAAGTACGTCCTGAATAGGTAAGAAATACAAACAACAATTCATGCTTATTCATGATAAATTAACCTAATCTCATGATAATAAAATAACATGTCACAATCAACACACGTTTATACTCATAAGCAGACTAGTGCAATGCATACTTGCCAGTGCAGCACAGTCATGATTAAGAATAAAGGTCCAATCCAAATAAAGCAACAAAAAAGTTACACAAGCAGCAGAAAAAGGAAGGAAGCCCTTACTAGATAGCTTGTTTTATTTCACAGTCGCTTTGTGAGAGAGAAGCATGTGAGAGGATGTAGTTTAGTGTGAACGGGGGGATCTCTTCTTTGACTGCTTCATTTGTAGCATTATGGCCCTGTGAGGTGACTCTTTACACTTTAAAAAAGCAAGTATTTACAACTGGATTAACATTAAAATAAAACATAGAAAAATATTATAATTGTGAACCAGACTGGTGTATTGTTACACGAAAGCTATATAGCTAAATGTATGGCACCAGATGATTAACTCTGCTGAAAATGGCTGGTGTTGCACATTGCAAACTGAAACAATAAAAAATATACATATGCACAAATGCACATTAAATAAATCTAAAGGTTATAACAATATTCACCGTGATCTCAGTGTCAGTTTTTAAAATTATTGGTACTCTGTTTCAGTCACTAAAATTCTGGCTATAAACTTCATATATTCTACCTGTGAGTGAGATTTAATTTTCTCATTATTAAAGGAAAGTCCTTGTGAGAGATGCGCAAAAGATCTTTCTGTATACAGTATGTGCCAGAATGAAACGATTCAGGTGTGTTTCAGCGAACATTTGATAGCTTTTGATTTATTTATTTTTTCCCAGAGGAAGTTAAAACACAATACACGGCTGAGTCATTTTTTACATGAGAGAAAGGATGTTAGGAACCCATTTATGTGTAAAACTTTCTCGTATAATACACAAAAACTACTGGTACACAGGTTACATTTTAAGATGTTATTACTTTAAAAATTGTGCCCTGGGTATTTAAGCACTAGTAATGCCAAGCAACAGTATTTTTTTTTTAATAATCATTGCTGTAAAAACATTGCACAAGAACCACCATGCAGTAAATGCAGAAAGACTGTTAAAGAGATAACAGACATGGACATCAACTACAAATAGCATTTTTTTGAACTGCAGATTCTGCTTTACTCTGCAATTTCTGTGGCCCGAAGAGAGATTACATCCAACCAACTCAGTAGACTACATAGTATAGTGTCACTTTATATTTTACTTGCATGGCTCACTTTCATTTTTATAATCCAGGAAACTAAATAATATGAGGAAAGACTTTTTTTATGTGAGCAGATATGGTAAAAGAGACTTGACACCAAAGAAGTATTAGTTTGAAATTACTTGAGATAGAAGCATGGATATATTTCTAATCAAAGCATCATATAACCTATTTGTGCACATACCCTCACAATCACAACCATGACAACCAGGGTGAAAAGGACACTTTAATGAAGACAAGACTGAAGACTATTGCAGGCCATTAAGAAGAGACTGAGATTGCACTGAGAAATCGAAGGCGTGCCGCAATGAATCTCCACAAGATGCTTAACAGGGCACAGAGAGATACTGGCTGCTTGTAAAGCAGAGCAGGTCAGCCACTAATCAGAAGGTCGGTGGTTCGATCCCAAGGCTGCATCCTGGCTGCATGCCAAATATCCTTGGGCAAGATACTAACCCCATGTTTGCCTACTGGTGGTGGGCAGAGGGCCCAGTGGCACCTGTGTCCGGCAGCCTCGCCTCTGTCAGTGCGCCCCAGGGCAGCTGTGGCTACAATGTAGCTTGCTATCGCCAGTGTGTGAATGTGTGTGTGAATGGGTGAATGACTGAATGTAGTGTAAAGCGCTTTGGGGTCCTTAAGGACTAGAAAAGTGCTATACAAATACAGGCCATTTACCATTTACCAATATGAGAGATAAAAAAAAATCCTTGGGCAACAGAGAGTCAATGGTTTTGTTGTAGGCTTGTGCTTGAGGTCAAGGCGGCTTGATTCTGACAATGTTGGGGTTTTTGTTTGTTTGTTTTTTTTACAGTTGATGATACAGTAGCAGTACTAGTACCACAATCATAGTGCCATAATCCTATACATCACAGCGCTGACAACACTGTTATGTTAATGTGAAACTAATAGCTTTGACAAAATCACAAAATTTTGATGGGCCAGAAATGGGAAACTCTCTTTTTGATGTGATGGCATCAGGGCAGGCAAGACAAGCAGTGCTTTTCAGGTTAATCAATTAAAACCAAAGTTAAAGCGATGCCTGTCCATTGATCTTTTTTTATAATTTTAATAATTATTAGATTTTGCATTTTATAACAACAAAAACAAAAATACAACAAGAAAGAACAAGAAAAAACAAAACAAAACAGTGAGGTTTTAACATCTGTTGCATTAAGCTGGAACGTCCACTTCAGGTAGACAAATAGGTGCAAAAACTGTCCCATTTTTCCACCGAAGCTTCAGTCGCGTGATGTAACCTTCCCAACATCTTTTTTGCAAGAAACGTCTCAATCATTCTTTCTTTCCACTTTTTAAGTGTTGGAGTATGGGAGTCCTTCCAATGTGGAACTTCTCCTTTGTCTCCTAGTGGACACAATTTAGGTGATATGGGCAAGTTACAAGGTGTCCATCCCTGCATATATTTCAATACAGTTTTCCAAACTGGGAAAACCAGAGGGTATGTATCAAAGTACCTTTAGTTTGGTGGCATTTCCAACACTGGTCATCTATACCAACACTTTGTAGTTAGCTAAAAGTCAGAGTTGTCACACTGCTGGAGTAGATGCCTCAACACAGACCTTCAGTGACACTTTACTCAAGGATTTTGCATTAATAAACTTGGTAGACATATTTCTACCATAACATTGCCAGGGCAAAAGTTGTGGCTTTCCCAATCCTCTTTGTCTGACGGATACAGGAAAATGCTTAGGACACTGTCTGTAATTTCAGGCCAAATGT